TTATATAGGCCTAGTCAATCGCTGAGGGCGCAAGAGAAAGTAGAGACCACATCATTTTTTGACATGCTGGATGTTTTCCTTCTGGACTGTCATTTTGTATTGCACGGCATTGAATATTCTGGTTACTTTCATTTTTTATTCCTCGTCACAATGCATAAAGAACCTGTATGCGACATACATGTCAGAAACATTGTAGCAATAACTATAACATTATATAGGCCTGTGTATGTTTATATGTTAGTAAATATAACGTTATATAGACATATTACATTCATTTATCTTTGTCCATTGTATAATAAATTTTGTTGCACACCCCGACCACTGGGTTAAACACATAGGCCTAATGGAACACATACTTAGCTCCCTGGGGAAAATTTTGCTGCTGTAATCAGCTTATTGAAAACAAAGATAAAAATAAAGTTTACATGTAACTGTCGTAAGCGGCTACGTATGGATGAGTTGTAATCAAGCCAATGACAGTAAGAAAAGCCGTTAATGCTATAATCAATGTTATAAACAGAAGAATTCTGTCTATTAGCACGGCAACTTCCCGCCACTCGTTTTCATATTTTTCTTTTATTTTGCTTGTTTCTCTATCTTTTTTTATCTCTCGAAGCTCCTCCAATATTTTCGATAATTCTCTGCAGCCAATCTTTTGCTGTATTAAGCTTGAAGGACGTCCTGTTTCCCTATCAGTACTTTCTGTCAGTTCATGTTTGTTTTTTGTCCGATTTAGATAAATTCCGCCTTCATTAATCTTAGCTTCAGACGGGGTGAGCACACTTTTGAAGTAGCCGGTCTTCTGGTGGTTTCTACCGATTGTTCGACCTACTTTGCTTAGCAGCAGCGAACGTAGCCAAGGCGGGACTCGGCTGGGTTGTCTTCGGTTGTAGATGTTCATGACGAATGCCGTGGCAACGACGCTGCAGCTACTCATACACATGAGTGATGTAAAATACGATTCTGGAAATACAAATAATCATCATTATTTTATACACAGAATACGTATTATGATCTAGGATTAGCCCTAAACATTAAAAATTTATTTTCCCATTAAAAATACCAAATAAATATTATAAAAAATCATTTTTTAATTACTGACCATGTGCAAGGGAGGTAGTATTTTTTTTTCGCAAAATGATTTAATATATCTATTAATAATATATTAATGAATAATATTATACACATAATTACGATGAAGAATTCTTTTCTTAGTGAATACATTAAAATGTATATAAGTCAAAACAGGTTTTTATGTACTTACGAATGATTGGTGTGCTGTCTGCCGATGGTGGTAGTGTTTGTGCTATAAGTTGCTGAAATAGTAAGATTGCAAGTAAGGTTGTCACTCCAAAGGAAGTTTTCTCTCCACTTTCTGGAGGAAGAAGAAACACAAACATCGTCAAGAACGAAAGTAAGGAGCACGGAAGTAGTATTATTTCGACGAAGAATCGTTCGCGCCGTTTAATTATCACAGTATATTTAACAAATGCATATGTTTCAGGACAACAATTGTATTTTCTTTCTTCCCTCTCGGTGACGACTTTAACTAGCTTCCATATTCCATTTTCATGGTATTCTGTTTGAACGGACTGAGGAGATGTGTCCGGGTAAAGGTCCTCTTGCGCTCTGTCGTACATCCACGTTCCGAAGACTAGTTCACAGTGTTGAACATCAAGCGGGAACAATCGGACGTTGATTTTGCAAAATGTGTGGAATATTGCCGGCGATGAAAAAACTACACTGCCGTCATACGAAACAATTAGTTTCAGCGAGTCTTTAATGTGCTCAAATTCATCATCAATGCTGGGTAAATATACATACAAACAGAGAGTTAATACACATTTAAGTTTGATTAAGTACGGTCGCTTTTTAATCAATCTAGGCCTATTTAAAGACGATATTAATCAGATTTTACTCTAGAACTTGGCTATCAGCATAGACATAGTTTTCAAGTCCCCCAAGGATTATCAGTGTGCGTTGATTTGAGCTCATATACATGGAACGCCAAAAGGGCAAATTTCAAATACAGTCGAATTTAAGCACACTCAAGATACTGTCGGTTAACACATTCGATTTTCGTCAAGCACTCTTGTTTATCAGGCACAATCGGTTAACAAACACAGTCGATTTTCGGCAGGCACACTCGGTTTTTTAGGCACAGTCGGTTAACAACACAGTCGATTGTGCTTTGCGAAAATAGACTGTGTTTGTTAACTGACTGTGCCTGAAAACCAAGTGTGCTTGCGGAAATCAACTGTGTTTGGTAACCGCTATTGTGCATAGAGTACTACAGTGTTACGTCACGTTATGATAAGTATATTGCTGTTTTAACAATAATACATTTAATAGACATTTTAAACTATCAATATAGGACTGTTAAAATTCAATTCAATTTATTAATCCATTAAAAACGTACTTGATAAATATCAAGAAATGACAAAAGAACAACACCTACAGAAAACAAAAATATAGTACATATTAAAAAATGGGAAACGATGAACATTAAATAACACATTGTTAAAGTGGGGCCGTTCGAGATAATATTACCCTAGGGGGTTCGAGGGTATTCCCCAGCTAAATTTCTGTGTTCTAGACACCATAAAATAACCTCTGTGGCGTTTTGGGCGATCAATTTTTTTTTTTTTTTTACCTTCCAAAAGTGGGGGTCGGCCCCCCCAAATCCGCCCCTGTTAAGCTGTATTCCCTGTTCCTGTTTTCTGATCGGTTTGGTAAGCTTTCCGATCCGAAATTCGGATTGGGTGTGAATGCACCGTTAAGGTTCTGTGCTTGCAATCAAAGGATTACAGGTTGGAGTCATATCCAATGTAGCCACGTATTTGAGTCATTATAGAGAACCTTAATTACATTACGATTTAATTAGATATTATATCTCGGATAATATCAGGACAACGTGCCACTTACCTGTTATATAGGGTTATGTCAGGACACCATACATAATGTTTATCTATCATAACACTCGTGATGTTATTGTATTCCCCTGGATTCCACGTTAGATATTCATCTGTCCAAGTCTAAAATCAAAATAATTAATTATCTTATTTTCAGTGTTAATGATAGCTAGTGCTAAACTAATGACTTATATAATATATAGGCCTATATATATATATATATACTGTCTCTTATACACATCTAGATGTGTATAAGAGACAGGAACATTGAAATACATTAAAATTGTAAACATATATTTGTCTTCATTCCATACATAATAGTCATACTTGGTTTTATTTTTGGTACATTCGCACTTACGGATGTGTTTAAATGGGTTTAATATGCAATTAATGTCACACATCAGCTACTCGCTTACAATGATAATGAATGCTTTTAAAATGATAATTATAGGAACTTGATACCATCAAAAGTTCATTGCCTGGTGAAGTGTGGCTGACAGCACACGAAACGTCGCAAGTACGTATAATATTATTAAAGGTAAAGGTAGAAGTATAACCCATAATTTGCAGCGTCATTGTGCTGAATTGCGTATGGGCGTGGTCCGTGACTACCAAGCAGCCGTAAAGAGGCGCTTCTTGGTAGATACATGTTCACATCATTTAGTACGGCAGCTTAGGGCCATAGTTGGACTTAATGTGGACGTTCCGGACAAAAGCACCAATTTTTTTTTACATGCTCCTTATGGTCATAGCATTCAATTTTTGGTAGGAACCACCTCATCCAAAGTCATTATGGCGGCCATCTTGGATTTCAAAATGGTAGCCTTATAAAACCTATGTTTATTTATATCTCCGCTTCTAAATCACTTTGAATTATAATTCTAATGTCTAAGAGTATGTTTATATGGTCGAGGAATACCACCATATCATTTTTGACCTGGTCAGATTACCACAAATGGGTCATTTAAGGGCATTCAAGGTCAAATATTGTATGGTATCTTTAAAATTACGTAATTGTCAAATTTTACCCTTAGAATCATACCCAGGCTCTCAGAATTCAAAATTTTTACTATGAACTACAATATTTCATTCGAGGTCATTCTGGCGGCCATCTTGAATTTCAAAATGGCTGCCACGCAAAACCTATATTTATAAATATATCGGCTTTTAAACAACTTCTAATAAGAATTATGATGTCTAAAAATAGTCAAGGATTTATAGCACTTGTGACATGGTCAGATGGTCATTTAGGGTCAATTTCATTTCTCTGTTAAATACGTAGAATAGTTTGTAAGTGTTCGTGTTTTACAGCAAAATCATACATAAGCTCACAAAATTTAATTTTTGATAGGAACTATTTTATTAGAGGTCATTATGACAGCCATTTTAGGTCAAGGTCATTAAGCAGCCATATTAAATTTCAAGGTGACCATCATGTAAAACATGTTTTGTTCCTTTAAATATGTTTACTGTACTGCATAGTCAAAGAATAACATCAAAAGTAGTGATATGTATTTGTATTTATTATATTCCATTATATTTTGAAAGTCTGATATCAGAAATTGTATTTAATGTGAAATGATAAATTGATATCAAAAAGAATGGTATAATATATATATA